CAGTAAAAAAAAAAAAAAAAGTATGAATATATTCTTCCTCCCAACTGTGTATAAATCTGTAATACCCAATCAGTGTTTGAGACATCCCCCTTAACCTCAGGCATGGTGCTAAGCTACATATAGCATATTTTGCTCATACTGAAATATTGTCACAACATGGAACCCCAGATCTTCTTCCACAAGAGCCATTTCCTTTTTACAAAACAATTACAATGAAAGCCCACAATTTAAGAGACCTCCACAAAAAAGCCTGAGTTTCAGCTTTTGCCATCTTTGTGTATCAGTTATCTTTTCTGTTCGGAACCCTATGCTGCGTACAGGGAAACATGGTGTCTGGGCATTATATTGCAAGAAAGACTATTTCAAATGTACTGTATTTTTTCAGATATACCATGCGCCTGTTTTTTAAAAATCATCTGCTGGAAATTGGGGTGCATATTTAAGTAAAGAAATATGGTAATAACACTTTTTTCTTGGCTCAGGCCACTGCTAAGGGAAAGAAACAGTGATGTTGTATGTGCTGTACAGGGATGATGAGCACATGAGGCTCCCTAGCTGCTGGCTGTGGATATTTCTCTCTCCCCTCACAGAGGCTCATGCTGTGGCACTTTGGGGGCCTGTAGACGTGCTGGAAAGATGCTCTGATGCGCTGTAATCACAGCATGTTGGAGCAGACTTGATTAATCAAGGCTGCTGGAGTATGCTAATTAGCATGCTCCAGCTAGCCTCCATGTCTTGTGTATCGCTATCCCCGTACTTCAAATTGGTGGGGACTCTTTAACTAATGCTTATCTGATGAGCTTAAGTTAAAACAACCCCACTACCATTTTGAAGTGCAGGGACGCTGATACACAAGATGCTGTGGAACTTCAATTAGAGTGGTCTCGGAGCCGCTTAAATTAAAAGTGCCCTTCCCACCCACCCGCCACCCCTGGAGCACATGTAAAAATGCCCTTTATTTCCAATGCAGTGCTGAACTTGGGGTGCTAGCATGCCAGGTTTCTGCTCAATAAATTGGGTGGACCCTTGGTCAACTGCAGGTGCTGCTGGATAGGACTGAGCCCTCAGCTGCTGGCTGTCCATCTAGGTCAATTTGAGAAGAAAAGAGGAGTTGGGCATTTGGTCTTAGCCAGCAGCAACTATGGTATCCTGCATGTAGGGGGTTAACAGAGCAGCCTCAATGTTTTCTACCTCCCAGTCTGAAAATCCCTGTGTTTTTCCCCTGGGAAAATGCTGTACTTATCAACAGTTTCAAAAAAAGATCTTTTGACATTTATTCTGACTGTCTGAAATAAGGTGTGTCTCTTGTCTGGGAGTGTGATGTTTTTAAGGAAATATGGTAATTGGAGTCTAGTACCTAGTAATCAAAAGTTTTTGATAGATTCTTATGACATTAAAAATCAGGGAAGCGACATTTCTAGTCCCTTGTCTTGTTCATTTTTCTCAACTCTTAGATCATCCTCTTTGTTTTTCACCCATCTCGCATTCAGGTCCTCCTGATCATTTGTGACATTCAGGTAACTAATTTTTAAAAGATGTACCTGTATTTTTGGGCTTTGCAAGAGTCACTTATGAAAGGCAGTGGCTACTGCCTGCGAGTCTAAAAAGTCACCAGAAATCAACTCTGTTCTAACAGGTCCCTTTTGACATGAAAGGAAGAAAGGGGAATTTATTTTTTCATAAAGTCCTATTGAGCATACCCAGTTTCTGTAGAGATAAATTGCTGAAGCTCTCTGCGATAACATGGTTCAATCTCTGAGTGCATTCTTCTTTACTTTTCTTCTTGCACGTGCAGTTTGTTAACAAAAGTCTGTATTTGTTTAAGCATTTGTTGTTGTCTCTTTACTTGTAAACAAGAGGGAGGCCACAATTACGTTAAAAGGTTTTATTAAGGTATTAAATAAGAGAAAACAATCTACATAAAGCAATAAAATGGCAAACCATTGGGTCTATACATAGTTACGCTTAAATTGATATTTTGTTTAGTAAATCATCCTTCACCCAACAAAATTCATAAAATTAATCATGTACAATGTATCCCATACAGATTCGTGGTCCCCTCACACCAGCACTTAAAAATAAGTACAATAGGCACTCTAAACTCCTGTAAAAATATCAGTATAACATATCCTACAGTTGTTTACTATCTACAAAAAACACTGTCTGCATTAACAATCAGTTGCTCATTAAAATTGTTCCAGGTGTCATGGATGTGAATGTAAATAACATTTCTTATTTCACTTGCCTCCCTTGCCACTGGCCCTGTCTTGTTTACGGTGACACCTTCTGGCTAGGTGAATTGTCTAAGGAGACAATAATTGTCCAAGATTCCCGTAATATAAAAATACTCACTTCCAGCTTCACAGACATTGTGCAGAGCACAGCATGCTGCAGTCATGCATACAATATCTGCAGTTTGAATGTAAATGATTTTAGAAGCAGTGTTATCTTGATTTCAGCCTTGCCCTTCACGTCCTTTTTATGGTTCAGCAGCTCAAGTGTTTTGTCTTATGAATTGATTCTTAGCCTGAGAACCTCAACCCTGCTTGAGTTAAGGAGCAGGAGGAAGTGAATGGTAAAATGAATCTTTCTACATCTGCATGCTCCTGCTCAATATTGTCATATTCTTTTGACTGTGCAAGATGAGTATGGTGCTAGCTAGCAGAGAGGCATGAGAAGAGGCCTGGTGTAAAGCTATCACATCACTGCATTCAGCAGAGTTGGATGGACATAGATGGGATTGCATCCACTTTAAGTGTAAAGCCATAGGTGTCGTCTCTTAAACATGGGAAGACTTAAGTGCACTTTGTATCTATAAGGCACCCCTGCCAGGACAGCACTCCCAAAGAATAGATGGGTCATAAAGAAAATAAGTAGCTTTTATAGTTTTTAACATATTTTCTGGTGTAATTGCTTATTCTGGCATTGGTACTAAATGATTATAAGAACATAAATATATACTGCCAATGTTTATGTATTTCAGGAAGACATTTTACATTGCCTTTATCCCCAGCTTATTTTCACACACACTCTCTTTCTCTTTTTTAAACTTATCTCAAACATCTCTTATTCAAATCTTCACAACTCTGTCCCTAGCATATGTTATATCACATCAGGTTGCCATGGCAACACTACAAAAATATTCAGAATCACAAGATTTTTATGAAACATCCTATACTGATTCCTGAAGGTAAAGATAAGACAAGTAACCTAACCATGTCTGCTTTGGTATATCACTCACGCTTATGCTTGCTCCTAAAACTCCTGGGTCCAGTCCCTCCCTATTGGCATCCATGGTTTTCATTGATGTAAGCAATATGTTTTTTATACTGCACTGCTTAAGTCCAGCAGTGTTTATTCTCATATTCCTCTCTTCTCAGCTCCTTAACTAAATAGCAAATCTGGTCTAAATGGTGTAAGCCAGATATTCCCTGTTGCCTTTCCCACCATGAGAATGATAGAAGCTCCAGTGTTAGAGATGGGGCCAAAACCAGGAGGTCACTTACGCTAAGGCTAGGTCACTTACGCTAAGACAATCAAAAAGCCCAAGGTGGAATTGATCAAACTTATGTGGGTTTCTGTATGTGGTGTAGGTTCAGGAGTGAGCAGAACACACGTTCACCCTTGGCTCTGGGCAGGAAAGGCTGCTGGGGCCACATAACTCCAGCAAGGTGTCCATCCAGTCTCCTTTTGAAGATCTCCAGGGTAGGTGTATGCACTACCCATGCTAGGGGTCTATTCTGTCATCATTAGCCACAGGCATCTGTCAACTGCAGGCAGCTCGCCCATCCTCTGCAGCCCAGTTGTGTTCCCTGGGGATGTGCCTGCTTGGGGGGGTGGGGCATGGCGATCCCTGGGGGCATGGGTCCCCACACAGCCATGCAGGGCCCATGCCCCCTGTGAGCACACACAGCCCCAGGTAGCATGACTGGGCTGCAAGGCATGGCCAAGCACCCCTACTCCCTCCCCCCATCATTTTCAGCCACCGTACTGACTGCTCTGTGAGAGCCCAGGGATGGGGGTGCCTAGGCTCTCAGCAGAGTGAGTGGTAGCGCACCTCCATGTGAGGGGGAACTATGGGGGTGGAGGGGAAGCCAAGGCATCTGGGATGCCAGTGGACAGCAACCTAACATGAATAGGTTGGGGATCTGGTATGAAAGTTCAATTCCCAAGTCTCACCCAAATTGATTGAATCTGAGGGCACAGCAACCCAGGTCTATCTCAGACCAGGGTTTGCCATTTTTAAACCAGTCTGTGCCCACCAAACTTCTGTACTGTTATAGCTTTAGACTGGTTTCTAAACACTTATTCCAGTAAAAGTGTAATGTCTGTACCTGTCCTAAATGAATTGCCTCAGTCTCCTCATAAAACAGTGATGCAGCTTCAGGCAGACATAATACAATTTGGAATAACCTGCCACATAAATGTTTTCGTCCTTTGCTGCCAGGTGTGAAATTTCCTGCCTCCCCTAAATTACACATCTGAAGCCCTAGGTGGACAAGATTTAGTGTTGTGCCAATGGCAGCTTTCAGGTAACTAAAAATGTTACACTGTAAAGTCTATTATTTAAGGTTTCTGAAGGCCTAGAAATGGGGTCATTACACCACTGGAAACAGAAGGTACCACTTTTTTCCCGTTTCTTTTAGGTCTGGTAAGGACTTGAGATATCAGAGTTAGAAGGTCATTGTGGTTTTAAGCTAAAATCTAGTTTGGGGTGCCTCTGATGATGATGCTGATGGTACACAGTGCCTGGGTGGTGCTGCACAAACATATCTCACCATGCTCATTCGATTAATTAGGAAATTGGGAACAGAGAGACAAAGTGAACCACTCAAACTGCACAGCAGATGCAGATGGAGGAGGGAAAGGGATCCCGGTCTCTTTAAATTCAGAACAGCGTTCAATGTAGTCTCTCTCTATTTCTTCATAATGTATGAGTAATATTTTTAAAAGCGTTTCATTGACAGAAAGTGACTTTGGCATTTAGAATCTCAAATTTCATGGAAAGCCAGTAGGACTCAAAAGCCTAAGTCTTTTTGTGTTAAATGGGACTCAGTGCATGTCTGAACATACACACAGATAGTCAAGTTAGCTTTACACACAGATAGTCGAGGTATCCTGGGGATCAGAAGCAATCTATTTGGGAAGCACAGGGGTTTCATGGATAGAAGCAAATGGCCGGTTTGTGGCAGGACAAACTACTCTGTCCCAAGACAGAGCAGTTCCCATTCAGATGTCACTTGCAGGTGTCCCAGAATCTGTTGCCACAAAAATGTGATATCAGTTTGTCCTGGCACATTGCAAAGGGTGCCTGGACAACTGTCTCTGGCAACATGGCAGGATAAGGGAACTGTAGCAGGTTGCCACCTCAGGGCCTTTCAGCTCAGCTTTGTCTCTCCCCTGAGCATCTCTCAGCAAGCCTTAGTACTATGCAGCTTCTCAGCCTGCCCCAGTTATAAACAATCCTTCACTAAGCAAAGTAAGCAACCAAAGAAACCTGATCACCCGGGACCCTGAGATGGGTCTGCTGGCACTTCAGGCTTCCTTTCCCAGGTTCCCTCCTCCTAGCACAGAGGTTCCCTGCCTCTGGTGCTTGCCCTTCATTCTCCCCCTGTGGTTCTGCCTACTGGGATTTTTGATTCCCAGCCATGCCCCCATTAACCCTCCCTCAGCTGCAGCCCTTTAGTTTAACTAGCTGCCTTTCTGTAAGGGCACAAGGCACACTTACAGGAACCCAAGCACCCCACCAACCAGTTTCTGCCCCAATCCTGGCCTGTTTTTACTCAGGGCATGCCTGCAAGGGCAGAGCAGGCAACCCCAGGGGACACGTTTCCCACTCTGAGCAAGGAAACTATCTTATTCCTTGATCTGTATTTACAGATGCATGACCCGGGCCAGCCATTGTCCCACAGGATTGGGCCCCTGCAGCTCTGGGAGCAACAGGGCCCAATTTTTCAGGACAGTGGGCCCTGGGTGATGTCTGTGCCCACCAGTCAATCAGGATCAGCTGTGCTGGGACCTGTCTCAGGACACCTGATCCTGTGACAAAACAATGTCTGTTTCTAGCCTGTGATTCTTGTATAAATCTAACCTGATTCTCGTGTAAATTAGTCTGTACAGTGCTCTATGCCTCTGTGCCTAAATTGCTTCCAAGGCCAGAACCAGTTCATTTGAAACTAAATCAGATCTCTCCACACTATTCTGCTACCCCCTCCCACATCCCCTACTCACTAAGGCACCTCTTGAAAGTGCCATCCTATGACTCCATCTTAGCCTCATGAACAGCTAAGGGGGTTGGCTTCACCAACAGAGAAATGCATGAAGAATTGTTCATTAAATTAGCAGTTCCAGAACATTCCTATCTTGTATTTGCTGATATGCTGAAGTTCACTAATATATATATTAGTGGCACATATTTTGTCTAGCAAAGATACGACTCGCAAGTAACCTAATCCCTTATGAGTGATGTGTAAATCCTGCACTCAGGCCAACAAAAGCATTTTGAAGTAAGATCAAGCTCATATAATGTAAGAGAAGAAGTCACAAGGTAATAGGAAATATAACTCCCTCAAAACACACCAGCCTTCAGCATACTACAGCAGACTCTTTAGGGTCTCGTCTATCCTATCCCTCTTTGAAGACTGAAGACTAAAGATGCACTGCTAGACCTTGGTTCTTTTTGATTACCTAGCTGCACCTGGACCGTAGGAAGAATGCCTCCCAGCATGCTATTTTGGTAATTAATTGTCCTTTTAAATCTGTGAAAGGCAAGTGGGGGCCTCAAGATGGCCACTGGCTTATGTTAAACTCAATTCCTACCCTTCACCTTTGAGATAGGCAG